TACAAAAACGAGTAGTAAGTATTCAATTTTGAGTAACAAATACTCATAAATGGGTAATATTTTTACTCATTTAATTGGTAGTCCCAGTCTCCCTCGAAAATGCTTACTTTGTAGTCATTATTGGGTATTTTACGGTTAACGTGTAAGCTGAGTCTAAAATTAGGCAGCCATTTTTTCTTGCGTGACGTGTGCAAAACTTTAGTAAAAATGGAAAAAAGTACTGGAGCAGCAGTGACAGGAGGATGCACATTTGATTGAAATCTTTTGTAAGTGTTTGAAACTAACGGTATGATTTTATTTGCAGGCATCTTGTGCTATAGTTTGTTCTCCTGTCTCTGGCTTGCAAAGGCATTTTAAAAACCATTTGAATGAGAATGACTTCAAAGTCAGTGATATTTTTTTGACTGTCTTTTTTCACGCTGTAACCAACAATCAATACGAAACTAACGATTTTAAATTGGCTCACCACTTTAGTAGCCTATTGGTCCCAAGCAAACGATTAACGTACCCTATTCTAGTTGAAATTCTATTACTACACTATGTTTGTTTTGATTCGCTATGAAAGTTTGACAGATAACATCAGGGGTGTGTGGATTCATGCAGAACATGCAGGGGTGAGTGAAATAGCTTGGGACTGCTTGGGACCGTTGTTCTGGTACTGAGTGAGCCAAAAATAATAATGATTTTCTTCGGGACCCAGTGGTCTTAGAGTTACCTCTATGCTGTAACTGTGTAACTGTAGCAGGATTTGAAGTGAAAATCAAGCGCTGCCCAAGAGAACCGAATTCCGTAATTACAACAGGTGGGTTGGTTTGTTTGACAGCGTTCGGTAATTCTTGAGTAAACCGATGTTTGGTTATTTCTGCTTAAATTTATTTTTCGTCAACCGAGATTTGCGGTAACTTTGACAGATTGTGGGTATCAATAAGAACTCTCGATTACTTTTTCGAAGGGACGAATCAGCTTTTGTAAACAATGCATTTGATCGTCTGTTTGGCGTAACTGATAGCTCGCATGCTAACACTACCATCAGATAGGGGAAATTTTCTCCTACGGGATAGTAGTATTAGAGTGCGCGGGTGAGCTATCAGTTACGCCAAACCGACGATCAAATACATTGTTTACAAAAGCTGATACGTCCCTTCGAAAAAGTAATCGAGAACTAACGACAGCTCGGTTATTCCTCTTTGAACCGAACAGACTACCGATCGTTCAGTAGATAAAAATTCGGTTGAAATCAAATCGAGTTCGGTAATATTTTCTAAGTGTATATCAATCATAACACTAAATGACTATTATAAGTTAAATGTCATAACAAGATAGCTTATGTAATACCTTAGGACTAACTTGATGTTACTCTGCAAGAACTTTCCTATGATCCGTTATATTTGAAAAATTGTTGTGCCATTTTGAAAAATAAATCGATGTAAAAGGATCGATTTAAAATGATTGATTAAATGTATCAACCGATTGGCGTCTTGCAGTGAAACTTTTCCAAGCTTTCGCCACCTTCATTTCGAAGTGAGAACTACTAGAAGGAGGATAGTTTCCAAATTCTCCAAGTAAAACAGACGATTTTTGGGGCAAATCGGCACATAAAGAAAAACTAATAATTTCCGGTGGAAACTTTTGCTTGAATCGTGTAAGAAAACGTGTTTGCAAACTAACTGTTATTATTTCGGTATGGATCGGAGATGTTTCCATGGAAAATTATGCATAACAAGTTCGCACCCACAGGTAGAGGTTAACCCTGCGCAGCTGCATTTTTCGGAAAATGGTGAATATGTGCTATTTCCACTAGGATGAAAGTGGAAATTAAGTGAATTTACTTAGGAAAAATTGTATCATGCTGGTGATAATGGAGAAATGGTTGTAAAGGACGCCAATATTCAATAAATGTTCATTTTGGCCTTTTTTAGGGAAACATATTGATACTCACAATTTTCGACGGAAAACGCAACGGAACTTGATTTACTCAACACGCACCATACTATACAATGGTGCTCGATGGTTTATAAAGTGATAACAAGATGACAAATCATCTTTATTTTGAGTAATTGAGCAATTTACTTCTGTTTACATCATATTTACGATGTAGTATTGATGGAGCCACGAAATGAAATGAATATATCTTATGAAAGTTCAACTGGAAAAGTCAAAGATGCACATCAGTCTGATCGTAAAAACGTTTTCTTCTTCAATTCAAATGTTATATTGGAAGGATTTTACACAGGCTTGATGAAAATTATGATTTAACGCTAATTTTCACGAATTTTATATGCAGTCTGTCAACATTATCATCATCATGCAGTGGCGACATCTGCGTTGAGCTTTTACGGTAATCTTCCAATAGCGAATTCGTTTATTATCGGGGTTGGAACCAGTTCCAACCCAGTGCGAAACCGAACTTTTTGTCAGTGTGAACCTCAACCTGAGCTAGGTTTTAAAAACAAACGAGCAAAATGACGTTTGTCAGAAAACAAGCAGACCCAATCCTGATACCCGATCCAGGTTGGAGCTGAATAATAAACGAATTCGCTATAAGATTTATTCTTGCCTCAAGATCGCCTAATCCTAGGTGAATACTATATAGACACGGAGAAACAAAATAACTCAAAATTGAGATAGAAAGTACTTAAAATTTAGTTCTCCGTTAAGGTTCTACAAAGGGTCATTATTTTGTTTACTTCTTCTTTTTGAAATATTCTTCGATCATCATTTTCTAAATGTATTGGTAAAATTCATTGGAAGTGCATGTCCCCACGCCAAAACTGCCCATTTTTCATAAATATCAACTGGTATGGTGAGGAAAACTTAACCATCTCTTTTCTTCCTTCATTTCAATACAACAGCAAATGTGATGTCACACTATCTAGTGGATAAGAATGTAGCAGACAAAACATATGCACTGCCAGACTGCGCTGTATGCAAGTTTGTTTACACCCCTGAGCGGGAAAGTGTATAACAGGCTACGTGCACTGCTGCCATCAACCCTGTTAGTGTTGAATTCAATCTTCTGTGGCTTTTTTAATTGGACCGGTAAAATGTTTAAAATGGTCATTTATGTATTATTTAATCAGTTTTTGATATTTATCCACCATTAAATACATCCACTCATCTATGTTAATAAGGCAGACTTCGCAATTAATTGTTTTAATAAACTTAAATTCATTGCTAGAGGCAATACATCTGGCACCGCTGTTTCAATGATACTTTCACGATTGCTAGCAAAGCAGTAAAGTAGAAATGGTTTTCTTTGTGATGAATTTTGTTCACCAAGAGTTTTGTGAAGCAGTTGTTTTGAGTTTCGTGTATTCGATTGCGTTTAATTGTGCTATACTTCGAAGAACACAAGTAAGTAAATACAGTGAATGTGTTTTATCCAGGAAATTTTCGTGTTTTACCCACGAAATACATGTTTTAAATTTTCGTATTCATAATATATGAATGTATGTGTAAACTAATGATGATGTTTTTATGATATTTAAAAAAGAAGAAGAACACAAAATTACTTACCCTTTGTAGAACCTTAACAGTACTGTGTTGGATACAATTCTGTTCACATTGATAGATTCTTTTAGCATAATCTTGAGGTGTAACCAAAACAATTACACTTATGTTAATTGTACCCAATCAGTAATCTTGTGAGGGTTGTTACTTTTGAGGGCTTTCTATCTCGATTTTAAGTTGTTTTGGTTTTCGTGGTTTGAAAGTATACAAAATCAAGTGTTGCAATGACACTTAATTTTGGATGAAAAATCACAATGTGTGGCCATGTTCATTTTGGGCAAGTAGCCATTATTCTGCAGCAGAATTTGCACTTCCGAAATCAAATTCAACAATGTGCTATTGGTGAAATTTTCTGCTGAAACCTCGTCCGGAACTTAACCGAAGAAGGCAACTGGTAAATTAAATAATATAAATTGTAAGGGTATTTTCAATTTCATTCAACCTTAGATCTCCGTGCGATTTCTGGAATCTCTGAAGAGGCATCCTTGCTCCATTTATTGGTTAGGCCTCGGGTCAGGCCTCGGGTCAGGTAAGAGGATCATTTATGAGCAAAATGACCTCCGCCGGCCGGCTGATGATTATGCCAGCCATGAAGTGCACCGAAGACAGTGATAGTAAGAATCCTGATTTGTGTATCCCTTTTTTCCAAACAGTTGCTGTGCGATCCAATTGAAAAAAGCCGGCAATGCTTAAATTAAATTCAATCTTGTCATAAGTTCTTAGTTTTTAATTACCTGATTTATTTCAACATCAATAAATAAAACTACTGTATTGGGTTTAATACTAAATTATAGTTTTGGAGAAAAACAATTAAATAATATTTTATTTTAATAATTTTAAAATGAATACTTACTTTTAAGTAATATTTACCTAATGTGCACTCTTCTTGAAATAGGTACATTCCACTCAAAAGGTTGTCTTTCTATAAGACATACTTGGATACTTCGCAAAGAACTCAATTTTGACTGCAGTCATGGTTGCACTTAGGAGTCAAGATGAGTACAAAAGTCTTAATTTTGAGTTGTTTCGTCTTTCCGTGGAAGTTTTTCCAGGCAAAGGCCGGAAAATTCAACTCTCGTTTGAGTAAATCCACTTATGCCGAAATTTAATCGACTAGACTCAATTTTGAGTGAGTTTGTACGACCGTGAGTATATAGAGCGTCGCTTCCGACTAGAAGCTCGTTCGTATTTTGATCGCGTCGCGTCGAAAGCTCGCCGACGCTCGCCCGCACCAATGTTATGAAAACAAGGAAGCCCCAGAGAATTAGTCGTCTCTTTCGATCCTCCGCTGTTTAGATAGATGACAAAGTTTGACATCACACTCCGTTAACCATGTAAGAGAGCGGGAGAACGAAAGAGATGACGAATTGGCATTGCCTCACCTGCCTGCAAACTATTGCACCCGCACAGCTTTTCGCCTGATTCGTAAAATCAACAAAAGAAAAAAAAACACTACGTTCTCCCTTCTGTGTAAAAGATCTCTTCTCGTTTTTCGTTGCTCCGAAGGAACACCGCGCAGTAGAGTCGCAACTCGTGTGTGAATTTTCGTGCAGAAAAGTCCCAAAATCTAGTGCAAATACGACCGGATAAGTGCCAGAACCGTGCCAATCTAGTGCAGCATTGGTAAGTGCATCGTTTGCGGATGTTTTCCGGTGGAATAGGCCACAACCGGCATCGAAAACGGACCGGATTTGTTCACATAGGAAAACAACGCACCCCTTGAAAAATTTACATTGATTTTTCCCATTGCTCGGCTCTTGCGCGGTCCGCGCTCGATGTGTGTTAGTGTCAGCGGAATCCCGTAGTTAGTATGTTTTTTTTTCTCGTTCGCTACGAAGTTTATGTTAACAACACCAACAGAGCGTTTTGTACACCCGTTGGATTCCGTTTCCGTTCATTGGTGTGAAAGAGATGGAGAGAAATGGCATCATTGTATGTAGAAGATATTCTTGAGCCAACAAAATAATAATAATGCCACTCGGGGCTTGCTACGGAGTGTTGTTCAATTTCATAGCAGGCAGCCAGTTGAAGCTTGCTTTGATCGTTCCTCAAGAGCCAAAGGCCGACAACATAGTAGAAGCGATTCGATTCGTTGGCAATAAGCGGAGCGCTTGCGTGAAAGCACCCTCTATGAGCGTTCTATGGGAATCGCCCAAACCAGCCATAGTGAAAGCGATGCGAAGAGGTGTAAAGCGTTCAGCAAAGCGACAGAGCTGTTCGTGTTGTGTTTTGACGCCTTCGAACGCAAGTGGACTGATTCTAGTGAGGAAAAATGGACACCGAAATTTGAACAAATATTTTGCACTGCGCGCGCGACTGTAATGTTTTCAAAAACGCTTTCACTATGTCATAGGTTGCTTCGCTTGCCGCTGCATTTCGCTTTGCCAATTGCTATCGCATCGAATCGCTTCGAATCGCTTCTACTATGTTGTCGGCCAAACGAGGCGAGCGACGACGTACAAACGTAAACACAAACATTGGCACACATACACATCGGATGGGCGCTTGGCTCTTGGCGGATATCGGGCTTCTTCTCGGCGTGTTTTGCTGATGGCAGGGTTGTCAGACTTTTTCATTTGAATTTTTACGCGTGTTCACGTGTTCGGGGTGGTACCGCTCTCGTTCCGGAGTTAATATGCTTCGAAAAACTGTTAATAACAGGTAGTTATGCTATGTAATCTACAGCATTTAAACGTAGGGATGGCCACGGGGAAGTGGCTAACATCCATACCTCTCACGCTAAAGTCACGATGTCACATGTCACATGTATATCTTTCTTTATAAGTGGACCCTACACGATTGCTTTTATTGAAAATAATCGTATTGTCAATACATTCAATATTGACGTCAATACATCGGTATTGACAATATTTCTGTATTCACATCATCAATATTTTTGTCAATAATTCCCCTTCGCGTCAATATATTGATACGTGTGGGGTTTGCTATAGATTGAAAGTCTGTTCAATCTGAAATATAGGGGAAATGGCTCTTATGTTGGACTATTGATCTAAAGATTGGGTCCATCGTTAAAAATATCATATTCTTTATTTTTTTCTTAGAACAGGGCATGGGCATATATTACCAAAATGGATATTTTTGGTTCCTAGTGAAAGATTGTCAAACAATGCTTAGTTCCGAAATTTATGTATGGGTCCAATATTAGGGACACTTAGCCGACATTAAGGACATTATCCCTAATCTACAGATATCAAAACTAGAAATACGATCTGATAGATTGTGAGCTATATCCATTTGTTTTTATGAAAAAGCTTGGGTGCGCAACGGTTAACGCTGAGTTAAGGGTCGCCCACATTAGATCCGGATCAGATGGAAGTTTCTACGTTGTTTGTAGTTCTGGGAGTGTTTACCAAAATGTTGTAGTTATTCTACAGACAAACAGACATAACACATTGATTATTTCTCACTATAAAACATTACCGCCATCTGTTGAGTACACTGTGGTGGGTAGTACGCTGAACAGATGGCGGTAGTGTGTAAACGTCAAACGCAAAAGAATTGACTATGTGCGCCACAGGTGGTGGTACTACCAACTACGATAATTTTAATTTGGCCGTTAAATGCTTGTTCGATGAACAACTTGCGAGTGTTATGTCTGTTTGTCTGTGGTTATTCTATTCAGCATTTCTTTTGAGTTAACATTTTAGTTCCTTTTAAATTCTCCAAAAAATACATTGGTAAAGTAGAGCGCTACAATGCGTTTGGACGGAATTGAAACTCGTAGGACGAATTTTGCATCAAGAAGCAGTGTTAGATTTTTAACAATATCTCAACAATGTGTGGCTATTTATCAAATTCAACGGTACTTATGGAAAGGGGAATAAGTTTAGAAGTCATCTTTGATAGAAAAAAAATCATTTATTGTCAAAACCCATTCAAGAAACAGAGGTAAATCGCGGGTTGTGCTTAGTAGGATGTAAATTAGATCAAAAACCCTATCAGAATTCTATAGATTATTTTTTAATTGCTTGGTCCCTGAATTTTTTCCAAGCTGCAGAGCCTATATGACCATAATAATGTTTTTTTTTAATCTGGGATCTTGTAAATTTTCCTAAAGACCAAGGGCAATGTGTAGATGTTAAGACACCATCATTTGATTTTACAGAACTTCGTAAAAAATCGGGGAACTTGGTAGATTTTCATGATACTTTATAGAGCTTTAGAAAACTTTGAAGTAATTCGGGGAACTGGGTAGAGGTTCACCGAACTTTTGTAAAAAGTTCAGTTAACGTTCCAGAAGCTCAGTGAATTTTGTAGAAGCTCAGATAACTTTGTAGAACTTAATGAAACATTGATGTAATTTAATGAACTTTATTGTATTTATTATATTACTTCAGGTATTCCGTAGATGTTCAGGGAACATCGTAGAGTTTCAGAAAAACTTCGTGGACATTGAGGAAACTTAGATTTTATTTCAGGGAACTTCATACAAGTTTGGGAATTATCTTGCTACTTCGTTGATGTTTAATGAACATGGAATATGGGATTCCGTAGCACTTCGCTGAAAATCAACGAGATTCTTTGAAGCTCAGGGATCTTCGTAGAAGTGCAGCGAACATGCAGAAGTTTAGCAAATTTAAAACTAACAAATCGAGAAACAACGTAAAGCTTTATAGAAGTGTAGGGAATTTTGATGAAGTTCAGGGAACTTCTTAGAAGTTCGATAAACTTTGTCAGAAAATTTTAGGGAATTCAATAGAAACTCAGGGAGTATCGTAGAAGTTCAGAAAACTTCTTCAGCTGTCTTCGTATTTGTTAAGGAAACTTCGTAGCAGTTTGTCAGAGAACATACAAGTTCAATAAACTTTCTCAAAATTTTGAGAACTACATTCGATTTCATGGAATTACCCAGATGTTCAGCTATATTGATATTATGATATAATGAGCATGAGCTCTAAAGTAAAATATTCAAGATGCCGGGCTCGAAAATCGAAACTCATCTAAAAGTTGTCTAGGTTTTGATTTTTGTTTCTATTTAAAGTAAAATTCTCATATGAAATCCTTAATAACCGTGGAATTCTGCTGAGAATTTTCATGATAATCTTGTTAAAACTAACAAAACTCTACTCGTAATACCTTGGAACCAGCGGCACCGGTGGTGTAGTGACTGCCTCTCACTCCAAAGGGCCTGGGTTCAATCCCAGTCGGTGCATAAAATCTCTGATCACGCCTTCCGGGGGTTGATAGGTAGGGTCCAGGTGTGGGAGCTGCCTCCCTGGCGTCGGTTGCATTGGTACTCAGTACGGAAAGCAAGATCGACGGAACAAAAATCAAGGAGAAAAAAACCTTTGAATTCCCTTGAAACTCTCCTAACAATTTCCACGAAATCCTCCTTAGAATTCATTTGAAACCATTTTGAGTATTCGCCATTTTAGCTATTCAAACTAACGGGGTTCTACCATAGAGGTAACTCTAAAACCAGAAGGTCCCGAAGAAAAGAGCTCAACTTTTTAGCTCAGCTCTGGTCCTATCTTCGATCCCAAGCTAATCGATTCACCCCTCGAAACATAGGAAATTCCTCTAACCCCTCATTTTATCTGTCAAACTTTCATAGCGAATCAAAACAAACATTGTGTAGTACTAGAATTTTGACTAGAATAGGGTACGTTAATCGATTTGCTTGGGACCAATAGGCTAGTCAAGTAGTGAGCCAACTTCAAATCGATAGTTTCGTATTGATTGTTGGTTCTACGGTACTACCGTTTGTACTCCATTTTCACCTGGGGGACACTTGTTGAGATCTCTCAACGGTATTCATTTTTGCGCCGCCATTTTGGTAATTTTGAGAATTTCTAAAAATCCTATGTTATTTAACAAAAAATGCTCTTTTGTTTAGAAATATCAACAGGTGGGACAGTTACTGCTTTTCCGTTGATACTGACTCCACATCCGTTCGAACCACACCCAAATTCAAAATGCACCAATACTAACAAGCATTGCAAATTAGCAAAATGGGAAGCATTCAAATTTTGACCATATTGCAATTTTGTTGTATTAATATAATAATTCTACTATTGATATGGTAACTTCAATTCCAAGATTCCAAGTTCAGGGAAGGCTTGACAAGGAAGTTCAGGGATGCCTTGCCGTAGTTCAGGGAAGTCCTGACGAAGTTCAGGGAAGTCCTGCTGAAAGTTCTGACGAATTTCAGGGACCTCCTACCAAAGTTCAGGGAAGTTCTGCTGAAGTTCAGGGAAGGCCTACCGAAACTCAGGGAAGTATTGCCGAAGTTTAGGGAAGTCCTGCCAAAGTTCGGGGAAGTTTTACCGAACTTCAGAGAAGTTCTGCCAATGTTCAGGGAAGGCCTGCCGAACTTCGGGAAAGTTCTATTAAAGTTCAGGGAAGGCCTGGTGAAACTCAGGGAAGTATTGCCGTAGTTTAGGGAAGTCCTGCCAAAGTTCGGGGAAGTTTTGCCGAACTTCAGAGAAGTCCTGGCAATGTTCAAAAGTTCTACCGAACTTCGCGAAAGTCCTGCTGAAGTTCAGGGAAGGCCTGCCAAAGTTTAGGGAAGTCCTGCCAAAGTTCGGGGAAGTTTTGCCGAACTTCAGAGAAGTCCTGGCAATGTTCAGGAAAGGCCTGCCGAACTTTGGGAAAATCCTGCC